GTATAGAATATAGAAAGAATATATATATATATATATATATATATATAAAATAGCTGTAGGAAGATGGTGAGGGTATGAGAGTAGGGAAGGTAAGAGGAAGGAGAGAAGAAAAGGTGAGATTGACAGATGACTGGTGTTCTACCTTGATACCTAGACCAAAACCCAAAAGAAGAGAGTCCTTCCCCAGAAGCTACAAACAACCCTCTGATGAAAGTTTAGTTGAACTCTCACCAAGTTGGCAACTTATTCCTCTTTTCAAGGGATTGCTGAACATGGTGTGGGTTTGCTAAATAGGAAGGTGAGGGGCATCTCCTTTTTGCATTCAGCCTCAAGATGGAAAGCAGATGAGTGATAGGGCACGTGCCCCCTCCCCATTTATAAGATAGCTGCCACCAGGGCAAAAATATACTCCTCTTCTCCTCCAAACTAAACAGCAGTTTATCAAATGGATGAATAAGAAAAAAAGTGACAATTTTCCTTTATGTTAATAAATTGCTTTGGCCTAAAAAACATTAATCAATTTCTTTCCAAAGCACACACACTTCTCTATAGACTGCTATTTGCCTGGCCTTGAAAAGAAAGTCACTTTCAATCCCCTCTAAATTGTCAAGACTAGTGGGGGCAATCGTAAGGGGGGATGGAGAGGGAGCTCCCTAAATCCCAGTGATTATAATGGAACCCTACTGTGTTTCCATAGAAACATAAAGAGTGTATTCTTCCCTGAATGTACTGGAGGGGAGAGGAAAGGAGCAATGCCGCTGGCAAGGTGTGTGATTACTGAGGAGCTGAAGATCTCAGTGACGTGAGGCATTCAGGCCCTAAGACACCAAGACAAAAGTCTTGGTGAAGAGTAGTGAAGCGAACAGAGGCTGTTGTCCTGTACAAGGTTATTTCACCTGTTTCTGTGTACCCTCTGCACAGACATCCCCTGATAAACTGAATCCCCGAAAGAGAGAAGAAACTTGCCCAAAGTCACCCAGACAGTAAGTGGTATAGCCTAGATTTACCCCACAAACATCCCACTCGAAAGCCCTTGTTCCATCCTCTATATGGGACCACTTCAAATGGTGACAATGAGACAGAGTTTATATTCTGTCTCCCAGTTCTTTTCTACCCATGCCTGCCTGGAATTATCTCAAGCATTATTTTTCCAATAGGCATTAAGAACACCTGTAAATCTCAACAAACTAAGGTGGATTGTTTGAATTATGAAGTCAGAGACATTTCACATAAAATGAGGGAGGGGGCCGGTACATATATGTGTTGATATAATTTGGAAGGAACACATGGATGAAGAATGGGAAGGGAGAGGTAGTTGAGAGAAGCAAAAAGCATATTTTGAAAACGATTGTTAATTGTCTGTCTTGAACACTGGAAAGTAATGGACAATGCCCATATCTCTCTGGCTTACTGTTGTATCCCTAGAACCTAGCACAGTGTCTGGTCCAGATGGGTGCATGACAAATAGATGGATAATAGATGGGTGGATGATGGGTAGATGGATGGATGGAACATTCTGTACCAGGTAACACTGGAAAATTCTAGGACGAGTAGGTACCCACTCTCTTTGGCTCCATCTGGTGTTCTATAATGAAGATAATTTTTCTGCCACAGTAGGGAGGGCAGGGCTATTTCTGGAACGAGGGGAACTGTGAATATGGATATTCCTTATCTGTGAGCCATGCGTGTTTCCAGGGTAGAGGGGGTGAGAATCAGAGCCTGCAAGTCACAGCTTTAAATTCCTTTCTTGGTGCAATGCAGAGGTTGCTGGAGACAACTCTTCCCCAGCCTCTGAAACCAAGTTTCCACTGGAGAGAATGAGAGGTGTGGGTGATAGACAGAAATCTAGTTTACCCCCAGAGACAAATAGCAGTATACTACCGTTGATACAATGTGAAAGTGAGAAACTCAGTGCATTGTTTGTAGATCCCTCTGCCTACTGGCCTGGAAAATCCTGGGCTTTGGCTAGAAAGTCTTTAATAGCTAGAGATGTTGGTTAGCATTTACTAAGAACATAGAGCTACTGGACTAGCAGTGTCAGGGCCAGAAAGAGTATCTGTCTACCATTCCCTCCCCGGCATCTTGAACAGGGCCTGGTGCTCAAAAAAAGTTTACTGACTGACTGGCTCCATACCTGGTGCCTTCTCTGCTTAAACTTCACTGAGATTCTTTGAGTAGGTACCATGCTCATTTTGCAGATGAGGATACTTCTGTTTGAAAATGGGAAATGACTTCCCCCAAAGTGTCACAGTTAATAAGAGATAGAGCTTTGCTTTGAAAAACACAGTCTGTGTTACATTCATTATACAGGTCACCCAGACAGGATTATGTCTCTGGAGAAGGGACCAGGGAGAAACAGAAACAGAAAGGATATACGCAGAGGAGGAAAAAAAAATATGGATGAAGCTTATCAAAAATACAGAAACAAAACAATTAGACACCCTTCCCCAATGCTCCCTAAGAACTGTCACCCCATTAGTCTGAGTACGAAACAGGCCCTTCTGATGTGTTACCCCTGCCTGAGACAAGGCATTACCCAGGGCTTCATTAATCATGCATCCAAAGGTGATTTGCCTTTTCAGCAGCGCTTACCCTGATCCTGGGCTCTGGGAGGTAACTTGGGGATAGTAGATAAGGACAGGGGTCCCTTGAATAAAAGCTGTTTTCCAGCTCTTGCTGGATATGAAAGCTTTGGTGATCATGCCACATCACAGACTAATGTGGGATCTTTCCTCTTCCATCTACAACATTACATTTTCCTCCTGGCTAAACAAAGAGAATACACGGTTTTCATGACTTCACATTTCCTTCATTTTCTACACTCCCACGCTGGCTCCTCATCCTTGGGCCTTTTGAGAGCCCTGGTATGAAACCAGGTAACAAACACATCTAAAAGCTTAAGAGTCTTCTTACAAGCATCCTGCATGGAAAACTCCTCCGTAAGTTAATCTCCTAGGCAGGAAAATGGACAATTACAGACAGGGGAAGCCCATGCACAGTTTACAGGGATGTCTAAGAGGATGTGTACTTTTGGGCCTGGCTCTAGGGAGGCTCTAGGGAGGCTGGGCCAGTATGATGAAGCAGACTGAGCATCCCCAAGGCCTGCTGGCTGGATTTTCAGGCTCACAGAGGTTGGGGAGAGCATCAGTCCCTGCTCCTCAGAGGCCAGGACTTCTGCACTGCCTGGCTCTCACCCCCTCCCTCTGAGAACCATGGTCCCTGACGGCTTTTTGTTTTTCTCACAGCCCTTGGTGGTAGTCAACACCATGCAATGAATCAAAGGATCTGTACATTAATGGCTCTGAACATACAAATAAAAAAGAAAAAAGAAATAAAAAGGAGATTAGAAAATGTACATCACAAAGACATATTCAAACACATCTGCAATGAGGAACGCTATGAGGAAGTCACACAGGGAAAGCTCTCCAAGACACAGTGTTATGTTGAGAAGCAACTCAAAAGTGACATGTCATATACACATCCTTGCAATAATAACATTAATGATGATAACAGCCACAGTGACAGGAGCTAACCCAGATGCAAGGCTTACTATGTACTAGGCCCTGCTCTAAGTATGTCATGTATATTATCTCACTTCACACATCCTCGTTCCAAAGAAAGCCTTTGAGATAGATGCTTTTATTATGTCCATTTTACAGAGGAAACTGAGCTGTCATTTTTTCCTGTATATTCCTTTGTAGTATATTTAAATCTTTTACAGTGAGGAAGTGCTTGTGCATAGCACGTGCAAATAAAGCCCATTAAGAATTAAGAGCATGAAATAAGCATCAAAGACTGCAGCCACTTACTGAACACCTACCAGTGGCCTGCCCTGATTCCTGTCTCGTTTGCATTTAAAGCATCTCTGTGAGGGAGGCATTACAGGTGCCTATTTGATCAATGAGAAACTGGAGGTTCAGAAGGGTGGCATAATTTTTCCAAGGTCACACAGCCAGTAAGTACTCAAGGACCTGGGACTTGATCCCAAAGCCCATGCTCATCCATTGGTGATGCTACATTAGTCCTTGCTGATTTGAATATACTTTCCTTCCTTCCTCTCTGTTTTTCAGTGTAGAGTATGATTTCCGGCAGCAGGAAGGCAGATTCCATGAAGTTCTGCAGAGTTTGGAGGAAGCTGAACCAGTTGAGGAGGCATCTCTCCCACCAAAGTCCCCAGCAGAACCCCCAGTCTCTGAGAAACAGGACTTAAGGCGGAAAACCAAGAAGGTGAAAAAGAAATGCTTCTGGTGGATCTGAGCTCATTGAATCATCCCCTCCAACCTTCACAGGTACTTCCTGGAGATGGAGGAACCACTGCTCTCAAGGCCTTCTCAGCTTCTTTGTGAATTCCCCGGGCAGGGAGCCATGTGACCTGTAACAGTAGCGCCTTGGAGACGGGTTAGTCGCTGCTGAACAACTGGTCACCAACCTTACCTGAGTGTGTGCTGCTGCTTGTGGAGGACTTCACAGACACTCTAGTGACCACTTGCAAGTTTCCCTGTCACACAAGGCCAGACTGTATCCTGGTTTGCAAGTCTGCATTCCCAACATGAACAAGCCCACACAATTCTTTCCAACACCTCTATGTACTAAGCATTTCCTTCCCATCCAAGGTCCATCAACCCAAAAGGGGAAAAAAAAAAAGTGTTACACAGAGCAGAAAGATAGAGAAGGGTTAAAAGCAGATACTCTAGAAAAAAATGAGATCAATAAGCTGGCAGTTTTCTAAGAGATCAGAGTAAAGAAGCACAATGAAATGGGTAGGGAATAAAAATGCAAGATCACCCTGGTGTGTTGGAATCATTTTCATTTTTATTTCTATTTTTTTTTAAAGAGGTTTTTGCTATAGGGCATGTGCACTCACCAGAGAGACAGAGAGAGACAGAGAAACAGAAAGTGAGAAATCACCACCACCACCACCCCCCCCGCCCCAGGAGGGATGGCCACGCCGCAATCCCTTCTCCTCCATTCTCCTCTCGGGATCTTGGACATGCACGCACACATGCCCAGCATGAGTTTAAGTTACCGGGTCTGGGATTTGAACAGCAGTCTACTACATGGGAGCCCAGCGACATAGCCATTACACTAACTGCTGGTCCCTTGTTTTCATTTTTAATTAGCCTCTTGGTCCCAAATCTAGGATCTGTCATTTCATGCTTTGTGGGATTTACTGTTTGAGGCAGAGTAAGGTCACCCTAGGGTATAAGAAACTCGTTGGTATGGCTATTCTGTGTGAATGGAATTAAAAGAGGGTCAAGGTCCACCCTAAATCATCATGCCTCTCTGCTTGGTGCCATGGTGCCATGACTTCCTGGAAAATGGATGGAATCTGACTGGGGTTTGAACTTTAAGATCTTATTTAAGTTCATTTTCCTACAACATTTAAGATCAGGAGACCCAGCAGCCTGTCAGTCCATTTCATCTTATCAGTAACATAAATAAGACTAAGATAAAATAGAACATTTATTTTCATCCATTCATCCCTACAACCTTGTAGATAGGCTCAAACATATATTAATCTACATGGTTTCTCTTTCTGGTGACCAGGCAATGGTCACCTAATTGAAGAAGTGGTAGGACTCGGGATGAGGATCCGTTTTTTTTCCATTTTAGTATTAAAGACATTTCTTTTCCAAAGTCTGAGTTATTTAAGGTCTGGCTCATTCTTTTGACAAAATTTCTCATATGTGAGGGGTCCAGTCAAACTTGCATGGCTGAACAAACTACTAGAGAAATATAATTAAGTAATTGCTGCATACTCTTGGGGATGAGGGATAGGATGGCAAGGCTCAGATTTCTTTTTATTAAATTAAATTCTCTACCAGAGTTGGATTGATGCTGCTAGAAAGGGACCCTAAAGCTAAACACACATTAGATAAAGAAGGCCCATTAGATGAGGTGAACCCCATGGCTGAAGGCCCAGGGTCCAAGGTAGAGTCTTTGCAGAGTGCAGCACCCCCGTGTGTATGTGGGATGTACCCCACTGCAAAGTGAGACTAATGGAGCAAACCACTCTGACAGTTGCACCTTCTCCTGTCACAGCGCTGCAGTGCACGAAGCTATTTCAGTGCGAGCGAGAGGGAAAGTTGGCAAGGAATCTCAGCTTGCACTATTTAAGTCTTGGAATGTCATTCAAGATGTTCTTGTTCTGTTTCTAGTGTAATGTTTAAACCCACAAAATGAGACCGGAATACATAACGTCAAGTTAGAATTAAGATAAATACACTTGTCATACTTAAGAAGCCACATTTCAAGAAGATATGCTACCACTGGCTAAAAGCCACAGATCTTTCTTTCTGTATCCATACAATCAGCTCTCAGTTGGCCCCAGCAATGGAAAAGAACAGCACAGAGGATAATCCAATAAAGCAAAATCATTTGGGATCTCTTATGTAATTTTATCTTGTAGTAGAGCTTCCATCTTAATTTGTTTTGCTTACACTAATTACAAATGAATTCATACTTGGGCATCAAGTGGGAATGAAAATAATTCTGTTATCAGAATTAAGAGACCCAGGCAACAGAGCAATCTATTTCAGTAGCCATGAATAAAGTACATAAACTTTCAGGGCCTGTTTGTCCATTCTTGAATGGTAATAAGAACACCTACTCTACCTACCTGTATAAGTTCTGTGCAAGTTTCAATGTCAAATGAGCAAGAATGACTCAGAGCAGAGCTGGGTCATTTGTAAAACTGGTCTAGGATGAAGAAAAGACGTTTGTGGAAACTCACACGAAATTAAGAAATTAATTGTAGCGGTACACATTTCTCAAGTTGGGGGCCTTATGCACATAAACCTTCAACTGAATGAAATGAAATCGGGGCTGGAAAATGTTGTCATTTCTAGAAATAAAACAAACTGAGGCTAAGAAGATTATTTTTACCAAAGCACAACACCATGTTGCTTATGCTGATGACCTGAGCGTGGGTAGGAGGTCTCTTCTGAAAACTGAACACTTAAAGGTATTATGAGGTAAAAGGACTTGGTAACCACTGTTCTGTTGATAAACAAAAATGGTCATCTCTCTGATTAAACACACACACACACACACACACACACACACTCTCTCTCTCTCTCTCTCTAAACTCATCTACTTGTGAAAATCACTGCTTCTTTGTAAAATATTATGTAACATCTACCATCGCATTCTACAGAAATGCTGTACTTGAGGTTATACGGTTTTATGGAGAGCTATTTAGCAAAAAATTACTTTTATAAATTGAAGGGAAAAAGACTGATAAATCCACTTAAATTGCAGGAGTTTATGTAGCTGCTTTCTCTGTAGTTAAAAAAAAAACATGCGTACTCACTATCCTTGGAAATTAATACCAGCTCATCTATAGAGCACCTTAAAAATGCTGTACTAATGTAAGGTTTTGTAAATTTCTAAACTGTTTTAAATGGGATATTATCTTTTGCAATAAACTTACATATTTTTTCCTAGGTTTTAAGACTCCATTACTAGCTGGGGTGATTTGGGTTTTAAATTTTAAACCTAAGATAAAAGCACCAGGGCCAGCTGCATAGTGTAGTGGTTAGGGGAGCCAAAACTCACATGGTCGACCACAATTCGAATCCTGGCCCTAGTGGCTTGAAAAATATCCTGGACACATGTGCATACCTGCCCCAAACCCAGACAGGATGGAGAAAAAAGGATTGCAGCATAACCATGCCCCATTAAGAGGAGCTTTCTCTCTCTTTCTTGGTCTCTCTAGTGAGAGCATCATCCTCCAGCAATTTAAAAAAAAAATAAAAGGAGAAGGAAACTTCAGTGGTCCTAAGGGCAAGGATGGTTTTAATCTAATTGCTTGTATATATTTCTCAGGAAAGCAGTAAACAAAGAAGACTTAGAACTTAGTGTCACAGTGGTCACATGGAGAAGCTCTCGTGTTCCACAAAGGAGGGAGGGAGTACAAATCAGCGGATTTGTTCCAGATCCATTTAGATGGGTGCATAGCCATCATGATTTTACCATTATGCCTATACATGTTAGCTCTAACCTAGTCATTTTTTTTCTTTAATTATTTTCCCTTATTTCTTCCTTAAAAGGTCACTTAGGGAACCAGTGGATGGCATAATGGTTATGTCGCTGGACTCCCATGTAGTCGACCTCAGTTCAAGTTCTAGACCTGGTGGCTTGAAACTCATACCAGGCACATATGCAAGCGTGCCTAAAATCCCAAGATGAGAATGGAAGAGAAGGGATGTGGCATGGCCATCTCCCCTGGGGGGTGATTTCTCACTTTCTCTCTGTTTTCTCTGTTTTCTCTCTGTTTCTCTCTGTTTCTCCAGCAAGTACACATGCCCTATAGCAAAAATCTCTCTTGAAAAAAAAAAAGTAATTTTTAGGGCCAGCCCATGTCCTGATAGTTAAGGTGACTACTTCTCACATGGCTGACTGTATAGTTTTAAGTCCTGGACTCAGTGGCTTGTCAAATATGCTGGGCACATTTATGTGCATACCCAAAATCCCCAAAGAAGAGGAAAATGAAGAGGAAGAGACTGTGGCATGACCATGCCTTTTCTTTGGGAGGAGAGGGGATTATTTCCTTGCTTTCCCTTTCTGTCTCTCTTGGTAGGGGGTAACTTTATAATACCAGTACAAGAGAAACCAATACCATGTTCCAAAACTAGAAGATGAAATGAAAATAATTTTATTAAATTATTGCTAAACTCTTTTTAATATTCAAGACCCTAAGCCTGACACCAACTCCCTTTGTTAAAAAGGGATATAAGCAAATACTGAACATGTACTAAAACCACATTAATTCCAAACCCATTTTCTACTTGACTAGCCAGGATGTATGAGAAAACATTAAAAATAAAACAACTTTCTCATCATTTGATTCAATGTTGTTTTCTGCCTTGTCCACAAACCATCTAAAACCAACTTGTTTACACATGGAATGTGAGTCTCTCAATTTGGGAAATACCAATTGAGGGGGGGAAATCCCCAGAAAACAAAAGCCTGGAGATAGAATCAGAGTCTGGGATTTGATAGCACTCTGCTACCTTCTTTTTGCTGAGTAACCTTAGGAAAGTTACTTAACGCTGTGAGCCTCTGACTTCCCATCTTACAAGAATGCTGAATACATCCCCTCCTTTCCAGAGTGTCCTGGCAATGTACTCAGTGAAAGCACTGAGCAGACATGGAGCACACAGCAGTTGCTCAGAAGGGAATAAATAGTCATTCATTTCCTGACTGAAGTAAATTGGGAGAGAAGATGGAAGAAGCCTTCACCAGGATACACTGGTTTTCAGGAATAGCTTAAGATGTAACAAACCCTTTTTGGTCATATAAGAGTGAACAGAAATTGTGACAATGGACGTGAAGTAACAAAGTCCTGGGAATTCAGAAGAACTCAGCACAGCACTTTGAGAAATAAAAGATTCTTGTTGCTTAGCATCAAATATCCTGGAGGTGAACGAGATTTAAGGGAAGGGAGAAGTCTTTAATTTTAAGCAGAAGGCAATTAAGTAAGACTCAATGATTTGTCCAGGGTGTGGAAAGTCCTGTTGAAAAATAAAGCAAGTGGCTGGCAGGTGGAAGGTGCCAGTGGCCAGGGCCACTCCAGCAACCGCTGAGACTGGACCTGAAACTCATTCTTGCCTCCATTCGTCAAAGTCCTCAGTAGCACCTTCACTCGAAAAGGCTCTAATTTTAAGCTTCCCAAGGCAGCTTGCTGTATGCTAAAAACATATTTCTTTTTTTAAGTTCCAAGAAACAAAGATGTTTTATGATCATTACGCCCATCAAACATTGCTTGCAAGAAAATGTGCTGGGGGCAAAGCCAAATAAAACACCATTCACACTTGGTGCAAAGTACACTTGACCAGCTTAATGATCATACTCCCACTTT